TGCTTGAACTTGAAACGCAGCTGCGTTTACCCGGTTTGGTATGCAAGTTTCTTATACGATTTTAGGGAATATTCTCCCATTCCTCTGTGAGAGCAATTTTGAGCTCACGAAGCGTAATTGGGGGAGGGTTACGATGTTTTACGCATCTCCTTAGCTCGTCCCAAGCATGGTCGATCGGGTTGATATCCGGGCTGAGTGCTGGCCACTCCATACCAGTAATGTTCATCTCTTGAAGGTAGGCATTCACAATCCAACCTGTATGAGATCGGGCATTTTCATGTATAAAAGTAGCATCCTCACCCAAATTGACCATAAATGAACCAACGTGTTCATTCAAGATTTCTCTATCGCTATTTAAAGAGCCGATTTCTATGAACACCAGTTCTGTGCTACTCTCAGAAGAAATTCCGACCCACACAAGTACAGACCCACCACGGTAGGGTATTTTTTCTTCGATGCATGCTTGCTTGAATCTTTCCTAGGTCTTCTATTTACTCTGTGTCTTCCATCTTGCTTGTAGAGCATAAATTTTGATTAGTCGGAGAACATAATTTTGACCAATCATCAATTTAAGTAGTTCTGGGCATATCGTTGTCTTGAAATACAATGCCCACCTCCAGTTTAGACCCTTTTGTAGGTCTAAGTGATTTCAAGCTAGCTTCAGCAAGTCGTCGTTTTACTGTCCATGCGCTTGGGTAACTTCCTCCGAGGGGTAAAAACTGATTTGTAATTTCAGTTCCTGTGAAAAAGCGATTTCAAAGCATGGAGTTCACCAAGTATTGATCTTCTCGTGCTGTGGTACTCCTGGTTCTGCCTGTTCCTGGTTTGCGTAAGTTAGAGCCAGTTTCCTCGTAACGTCGAAGAACTATTTTTACTGTTGACAGCGACACACCGACAGTTCTGGCTGTATCGCGCTGACTCCGGTCGGTTTTCAGCATTGTGAGAATTCTGGTGCATTCTTCAGATGTAAGTGACATGATTAAAGCTTGAATAATTAATATTGTACACTATTGACATGGTTTATATGAATGACAAATGACAGATTAGAAACAAAAGCAAATGCAGTAATTTCGTAGTTCCATCTTCGAAAGTCTTCCTTTTTCAAACTTGATTTTTTATGATATAGCTTTAGAATAACTAAGAGGTTTAATAGCTTCATTTAAGGAGTATTTACTTGTCTATTGATTAGAATTTATTTCATTAAACTAGCACTCTTAGTTTGCGAGATTTTTAGGATTCTATAAGTGTCCCGGATTCATTGCTCTCTCGAGTGTAGTAGATACTTGAAACAGTGATGAAATGTGATGTGTCGAGTGTCTACGTAAAGCGTCAATGCGTGGAATCTGTCGATTGGCGTGATCTTAACCGACTTAATTATTTGGTGGCAACTGAAAGAACGAAGGAAACGAACGAAAGAAAGACTCAAAGAAAAGTTAATAGTGGCAAATGAACTCCTAAATTAAAGTAGCAGACTGATTTGTTGTTACTTATATTCATGAGCCAGATATCCTCACCTTGCCGACCTGAACCCTTACCCCGCGGAGCCCTGGAACTCTTCATATATAACGGTCTATAGAAACACAACACCACTACAAGGTAGTGTTCTTTTACTGCGGTTTTCTGTAAAGTAGAGGTTGCTTCCCCGAGAAGAGCGAAAAACTTCGAGACTAATTCGAGCGGAAATCCGATGTGCCCTACCTCTCTTATATGCCCTTTTAGGGCTCTACAAGCAAAGCTCTGTATTCTGAGATGCAAAGGATGTCGAAAGGACGGACCTCCCGTTGTATGACCATCTGTCTCATCCTGTCATCAGTGAAGTGAACGGTATCTCAATGACCGTACCTTTTGAAATTTTAATTTCAAGCTCGAATCTAGTATACTTAGTTAACAAAAAGTAAAATGAAAAACATCAGTTTTTAGTATTTTTCTGCTTGTCCTTAGCAATACGCGTATTTAAAATAGGTTTTATCCTGCATAACATCACCATACGAATAATCCGAAAGCTGGTCTGTCGTAAGTTTTTAACGTCTAAGGCGCTGAACTCATTTTCATGAATTTCGGCAGTTGACTCAATCATAAGAGACAGAATTAGTCTATGAAATTTTTGCTTGGAACAAGTAATTTACGTTACTCGGAGATCAAGTCGCAGGCACTAGTTATGTATACGAGAACATTATAGTTGTTTGACGAATCAACTGTGAACATTGGCAAGATGTTCGCATACTTGCACGGGCGGCGACGCGGAAGTGCATACTGACCCACAACACTCTTTTGCTGTGGCTGGTACAAAAAAAGTGGTGCAGCTAATGCGGTGAATCAGTGTTACGGAAAAAATCGTGCACGCACACGTTTTAAAACCGTGTGAAATATGTTAAGGTGAATGTTGTACTAAATTAGCATAATATGTATTTACCTACACAACTGCCGAAATAATGACGCTTACAACTTAAATGATGATTACATTGCTTCAGATATTATCAAAACAAGCATACTTGTTCATAAATAAGTAAATATTTCCTACACTCATGTGGGCTTGTATACGGCTGTTGTGTACTGAACCCGCACCTTCGCTATCCGGGCGAATGCACTGACCATTATGCTACCGCAGCCCTGATGACCTTGCGAATTCTTTCTAGCCTTTCTTAAGCTGCGAGGCAGCGCCATTGCTTCGCATTGTAGGTAACCCACAATGTCAGATGAATACCTTTACAAGTATTAAACATTTGAAAGATTATTATTTTTATTTTTTAAGCATGTAACTGCTCGATGTTCAAATCTAAAGAAAATATCACTAGAAAAAATTCCATGCGGACCAGGCAGCAGACGGGACTCGAACCTGCACCCTTTGCTATTTGGGCGAATGCACTGACTATTATGCTACCCGAGCCCTGATGGCCGTGTCGAATTCTGTCTAGCCTTTCTTAAGCTGCAAGGCAGCACCATTGTATGGCATTAAGAAAAATATAAGTTAAATAATTCTAAATAAGTATAGTTATAAAATTAAAGATAAATAATATTTTTTCTAGATGTAAATCCAAGCTTTAATTTAAGCAACATATAAGTTATCTATGTGCTATATGTGAATAATATGAATATTTATTTATATACTTACACGTAAATTTGCTATGACACCTTATAAGTTGAAAAATAAATATTCTCTAATCACCTGTAGCGCATATAATCTATAATAATCTGTAGCGTGTAACCAAAAAACTTGTTATGAATGAGTAGTTAGGTGAGAGGAGACAGTGTGTGTACATCACAAGTACATCTAAAGATATTGTTGTAGTAGGTGTGTTGCATGCATGATGTTGTTTGAAAATACAAATGTTTTTGAGAACGCCATTTATATTTAGGTAATATTTTACATTGTAAATAATATACATGTATGTGTCTGAAGACAAATGTGCAACGCCTAGTCAAACCCTTTAGGATTTTAAGGTGTTCAGCTATTAAAATAAAAAACTGTATTGTTTATTAGATAAATTAAAAAAAAAGAGCTGTTTTTCTTTTTATCATTTATGTGACTTTTTTTTAGAAAAGTGCATTTATGTGTTGAATAATATGCCTAATTCATAAAAAATATAAATGGAGTATATTGTATATCCACTTGTACCACATACAAATGTCTTTTAAATATAAAAATTAATGGCAACACAAATAATATATCATGGTAAATATGTTGAAAACAATTAGCTATGGAACTCACCCAATTTTATCATACCATGATTCACAATCAAGGAAATGAATTTAAACCAATAGTATTAGCTGTCATCTGTCAGACAAAAAGAAATTGCACCTAAGTAATAACATTTCTTTATACGCAGATTCCATATTTTAATTCAGATTTTCAGCAAATTTGTTTGTAATATATGTATTGAGATTTTGATGGTTGGGCCTTTTTAGGATTAATATTAGATGTTTTTTGAGACAATTTGTATCAAGGTACAAAATTGGAAAAAAATTAAGGTCTCTTACGCTACCACTTCTGATTCCTGCCCTTAGAGTATCTTTATAAATACAGTTTAGACTTGATATTATATGTTTAAATATCAAATGGACAGGTGTACCGGTTTCGACCCCAACTCTATATTATTGTAGAAAATAGGTAAAAGGGTGGGTCAAAGAGCTAGTATTTATGAAGTCAGCAGTATATCCTATGAATAAACCATAATTTTTGTTTTTATAATATGACCAATAAATACATATATTAAAATACACATGGAAAATAACTTTGATTAGACAACACAAATGTAGAATCTTAGCAATATTGTTTAAGTAAACTGAACTATGTACCCACACTCGTTTAGTAAATAGTTTCATTAATGTTAACTAAGAATCAATACAATTACAAGGTACTGGTGGATTCTTATATTCTACACATTGTGTAGATGATAAGTTTTTCTGTATCAGTTAGTTAAAGGACATAATTTAGGTAATGCAACTACATCATTTTGTTGATAGTATTTGAATAACTAACTCATTTTTTACATACTTATGTTGTAACCTGATGTTAACCCACATAATTTTATTGTAAGTACACTTAAATCCATTTTTTTAAATTTGTAATTGCATGATATTCTTACACAATACAAACCCAAGAGATTGTGTAATGGATATACTTGCAAGAAAAATCAAGTAACATATCTGGTAGAAATACCTAATAATAATATGATGAAAGAGATAACTTCTAAAACGCAATACTATTAAGGTATCGCACATGAAACTGGTTGATGTTTGGTGTCATTGCAAGATGATGATAACCTTGTAATAACGTTTAGAGGAAATTAAGTTTCTAAAGGAAAAAGTGTAGCTCCTTCCTCTTAAGAAAGGATAGGCAGAATATTTATATAATACAAGTTCGATGTTAGCTTTCCAGTTACACTTACTGCAAAAGTAATTAATCAATATGACTAGAATTTTCCGTTATAGTACTTTGCAATTGCAACATGCAAATTTAAAATAGTATAAAATTGAATAGTAAAAGAACTATGTCTTACCTTCTTGTATTACGTTTGAGGAGACGAAGAAATGAAGTCCCTCTGGTATGTATCCTTTGTGTTGTGAAAGGATTTAGCTAGTCACCAAATTTTCGAACACCAAATTCGTTGCACCTAATATCTTTCTTGATAAAACTCACTTTATTGTAATACAAATTATAAAATGTTCACTGGTTTATATGAATATGTCAACACAAAATAAAATTCGATTTGTTATCGCCTCGTTACACGAACCACAAAAGCGAACACGAAAATATTACTGAGTGGCTGATTTCTGTACGAACGAACGGTGCGATGATATTGGTATGAAGTTGTCTATGAGTTAAAGCAAAACATGGTCAAACAGCTGTTTGAACAGTTACCTGCTGGCGACATCTATGATTGATGCCTAAAGGAGTCATTTGTTATGTCATTACATAGGTGGCGCTGTTATTAGCATGCTAGGAGACTGCTGTTGCTATGTTAACGTTGTTCGACGTCAGAGGTCACTTTTCACATTTTTTCTTTTTAAGAGAGAGCAAACATTTGTTGATAACCAGTGTGAAAGTTAAATTATGTAGGTAATGAATATATTATAATCATGAGATAATGTGTATTTAAGTTACCAAACTTATAAACAAAAAGTGCATTACGTTTTCATTTTTATTTGATCTGAGATAGTAGGTACCCTGTAGCTTGCCAAAAATTAGTTGTCTGAAATTTACTACAACAGCATAATTTACTTAAATCATCTTTGTAAAGTATTAAATAAGGCCTAAACTAATTATTGTTAATTTTAACCTGTTTGTCAAGTGGCCTCTTGGTCTAGGGGTATGATTCCTGCTTTGGGTGCAGGAGGTCCCGGGTTCAAATCCCGGAGGGGCCCTCTTTTTGAATACAGTTTTTCTAGGTAATATTCACAGTGCAGACTATTTAAATAAAATTCATTATTATTTGAGCGTGTTTAATATAAATAAGCAGTACTGTTAATAATGTACTACTCGGCAATAACTGTCAGACTACAGTGGAGTTTGACAGTAGTCTGACAGTTAATGCCGTTATATCTCTTTATCATATCCCGTATCGGTGGTCATGCTTGAGGTTAAACAAAAAATTTGGTTTAGAATCAATGAAAGTACAGTCAAGCCAATGCACAGTTGCACACTAATAATTACTAAGTCCACGACTTCTGCACACTTTGTCATTCCGTGATTATGTATTAACATACCAGGCCACACCACTCAGAAAGGACATTGGGCAAAAATGTATGGACGCTGCACCCACGTCCGCCACGGCTTAAACTACATTTGTTTGAAAGGTATTATAGTCAAGATCATCTCTGCCAAAGCGCATCAAATTCCATCCCGGGGCTCTTTAGTTATTTTAAGTTAAATGTGTACAAGTACTATAACAAACGAACATTAATGAAACAAGGGAATTAATTTAGTTAGTTAGTTCGACTCTACATAGGGTACTCAGGAATTATGGGAGTACTTCACAAGGTGCAAGGGTGCCCCCTTATGTTACTCTGCCGCGCTAGAGTAAATCCAAACATCCCTGCATGGGCTGAGTTTTTTTTAAACATTCTGTTCGCTATAGTAAATTGTCTTCTATGTAAAACGGAGCGACCACAGATTACACAAACTTATCCACGCTTTTGAGAACACATGATTCCAGTTCATCCATACTAATTGACAAAACCGATAATCGTGTTCCAATATCCAAAGCGTGTTAGATAAAAATCAATCAAGTAGCAGGGAGCGCACAATCACAACGAAGTAAGACGAGTCGACTATTTGCAACTGCAAGTCCTTCATCATCCGTAAACCGTTTTTAAATGTCTCAGTAAGAGCAAGTGCAGGATGGTCGGCAGGCTTTGACGTATATCTGGTTGTATAGTACGATATAGTATATTATTATGATTATTTATAATATAAAATGAAGGTATTATAAAATGAATTTATTCAGCTACTTAAATATGCCTATGTGTCATATCTATTGAGTACGAGCATATTTTTTACAGTGTCATATCTTTTGACTCCCAGGATATTTATTTTCGGTGTCATAATAAAAAAGGCTAGTTTTTCATAGATCTATCGATTCATACTAATTACATTGTTGGCGGAGCTGGGTGCGTTTTGCCCATTGTCCTTTTGCGATAAAATGTTTTTATGTATAAGACACTGGCCATTTGTAATTATTTTGAAAACTTCGATTATTCAAAAATAAAAATTCCACTGTTCGATTTGCAAATTTCCCTCCGCATTTTTTCGAGAGCCAAAAAAATTTTTCTTGTCTCATTAAAAAATGGATCTGCATCGAGAACATTTTCGTGCTATTTTGTTTTACGATTTTAAATGTGGCTTAAAACCTGATAAGTCATTTGATCGATTTCGAACTGCTTTTATGGATTAAGGACCTTGAAAAGCAACCATCTACTGCTGGTGGAGCAAGTTCAAACGCGGTGGTCTTACTTTGGGGGATGAACAAAGGAGTGGTCGTCCTACGACGGCTGTCGCTGAAGAAAGTGTGCTGGCAGTAAAAAAAATAATTCAAGAAAACAGACCAATTACGTATAAAGAGATTCAGCATACTCTGCAGATTGGTTCAGGAAGTGTTCACAAGATTTTGCACGAGCACCTTTGCGTAAGGAGGATAGTTTCCCGCTGGGTGCCGCCCAACCTCACCGAAGCTCAGAAGCAGGCCCGTGTGGATTAGTGCAGTGATATGATACAAAAATTTCATGCAGGCTCGTCACGGCGCGTTTACGATATTGTGACAGGTGGCGAATCCTGGATTTATCAATACGATCCAGAAACAAAGCGTCAGTCGACAGTTTGGCTGTTTCAAAATGAACCAACTACGACAGTATACCTGCGAAAGTGAAGCGATCGAGTGTCGCAGAGTAAATTTTGATCGCTAGTTTCTTCACTTTGACGGGATACCTAATTTTAATTCCATTTCGAGAACAAAGTATATGGTAGGTAAAGGTATAGCACAAAGTGCCTGCCAGAAGTTTGAAGTGGGCTCCGCGGGGTCCTTCTTCACCACGACAACGCGCCCGCGCACTCACCGATCAAAATGAAGGACATCCTGGACTCCACACCAGTCAGAATCTTGGGACACCCTCCTTACAGTCCTGATTTGGCTCCGTGTGACTTCTTTTTATTCCCTAAAAGGGGCCATCCATAAATTACGTCACATGTTAAGGGGGAGGGAGGGGGTCGACGAAGTGTGACATCGTGTGACAAGGGGGTGGGAGGGATCCTAAATTTCGTGACGTCACATTTCAAAATCTATTATCTAAGTGTTGAAACTATTACTTTACGAAAACATTAACAACCCAATTGAGAACAAAGTGGTGCTATGCCAGTTATAAAAAATTGAAAGGAGTGGGTTCAATGTCCATGGACTCAAGATTATTAAGTTTATATCTTTAATTTAATTATAAAGCTGTTCATACTTATTTGTTTTGTTAATTTCTTAAATTAACATAGTCAATTGTTTTTGTTTGGTAATTTCTTTAATTAATATAATTAATCGTTTTTTGTTTTGTCAATTGTTTGATTTGATGTTAATATTATTAAAAAACAATTTAAATAAAACTAATTTCATGAACCGCTGTTTTCATTTAATAATTTCTAAATGTAAATTTGCAAAATATGTGACGTCACACTAGGGGGGGGGGGGGGGCAGTCGCACAAATGTGACCAGCTGTGACAAGGACGGGGGGGAGGGGCGAAAAATCATGAAATTCGTGTGAAGTTATTTATGGATGACCCCAAACAAAAAAAAAACAGTGTGCTTATGAATACACGACTGATTGAAACTTCTTTAGCTCCAATGATCTGAAAATCCACCAATTCGCACTGGGTCTGTTATCACCCACCAATACGCGCTGGGTCCGTTATCACCCACCAAGCTGCACGAGGTCCGTTATCACCCACCAATCCGCGCTGGGTCTGTTATCACCCACGAATCCGCCCTGGGTCCGTTATCACACACCAATCCGCGCTGGGTCCATTATCACCCACCAAGCAAATAAAAGAATCTAGTTCTTTTATTACCGGCGACCAGCCCCGGCTTTGCAGGGATGCCATTGTATAGATGTATTGTATTGTACTTCATGATCAGAAAGAAGGTCTAAGTACTGCTTCCCTCTTGAATAATTACTGTGTCTATTGCTAAAAACTGCATTAAAATCCGTTGCGTGCCTACTTAGTTCAAAAAGATCATTGCTTTAAAAGATTCTAACCTTAGATTAAAACAAAGAGGGAAGATACGGCACTCGCGGCTCAAAAGTGATCCGCTTAAATTGTGGTGCATGACCACAATTCGCTTTAGTAACAATTGGACATTCAAACACGCTGCATATGCACTCAATATAACAACAATATTGCGTATATTCTGTGTTATAAAAAAAACACAAATAGTTCAAAATCAAATAACAAATGCCTCGGCAACACTTTTCATTTGTAAAAACTGTTAAAACATTTTTTTCTCAATAATCACGGTTTGTCGTGAATGTTATTTACATAGTCGCCATTATGTTATCAAGAAAAGTACAACAATACTGTACCCTTAGCACAAACCACAATCGAATTCGAATAGTTTGCGAGTGCGAAATGTCATTGTCAAATTTTGTATGGAAACTTGAACAGTAACGCCAAAACGGGCGTAACGAGAACTAAAAGTCAGTACACATTTGACAATGATATTTCGGACTCGCAAACTATTTGAATTCGATATTGGTTCGTGCTAGGGGTACAGTATCCTTAGCACGCACCGATATCGAATTCGAAAATGTTTTTATTATTAATTTCAAGTATATATTTGTTTAATTATACATATATTATTTAAATTAATTATATGGCATATTTATTAATCAAACAGCCTTTCGAATGAGGTCGTAGTTTACATGCAAAATCAACAATCGCTACAATTTGATTACCTAGTCAGTAGTGCAATTCTGTAAAACCCATAAACTCATATCACTGTGTGAAACGGATCCGCTTTTGAATCTCTTTATGTTTCTCTTCATGGAATTTTCGCATTCTGTAACCAATTGTACAAGCAAGTGAAGCGAGATGTCATTTATATCCTAAGTGATTTGTAGTGTTACCATTTTAAAAGTTTTTGGTAAATCGAGATATATCGACTTAGTTATTATGCGTGAAAAAAGCACGTAAATTTATTCTTTAGATATATTTGTAGATATGAGGCTCAAGTTTAAAGTTTTAATGAACGTATACTTAAAATAGTCTTATTTTTAAAGTTTGGTAATATGGACGAATGAGGGCTTACTCTATGCGCATCTCTGTAATCGAGTGAGAATCGACACTAGCGCTACTAAGTGAGAGTGGCGGTTTAGTAAACTA